GAGGGGGAGAGCGGCCGAATGGTAGACTAAGGAAAGGCGGCAGAGAAGATGGGGCTGGGGCGGAGAAGAAGAAGGAGGCTGGCGGAAGGCAGGGGAGCGCAAGGCGAAGGCCCGCGGGGGCATAAAGTAGAGTGTTTTGTACCCTACATGCTTAGGGCGCTCTATCCTCATTATACAGGACACAGCCGTCTACTAATAAAAGTTTAATTAGGGAAAATCTGTGCTGCAATTATCCCCTAAACAAATTTTAAATGTATATTCATCACAAAAAACATAAACTCTCTTTGCTGAGATATTGCGATATGCCGCTAACACACTAACGTAACCTAGATTGCGCTGCGGTTCACTTGGGCTGGTATACGCAGCGGGGACCTTACATGCAAGGTCTTACTACTATTTTTTAATAACTGTCTACTGATGGAAATGCTTATCATATTAAATCTATGCCTAGGATAAACTCCTCTTTCATCTTTAAATGCTATCATGCAAAATACGATTTCTCTGGGAGATATTTTGCGCATGCTGCTGCGCACCGTGCTTTACAGCCGTACAGATGGCTGTCGTTTGTACTTGACACCGTCACTGAAGCGGCAAGACTTCCTAATAATAAGTTGCCATCCACTCTTGCATTGAGTGGATCGCGAGAGTGGGGATGGGAGCTAAGGAAGAGGCGGCCAGGGAGAAAGATTAGGCCTCGGGTGCGCAACTAGAAGTCGTACCGCAAAGGTGCAGTAGAAGGAAGGAGGCTGCCTGAGCGCAGCAGACAGAGGGAGGGAAAGAGAAGGCGGAATGCGAGCTATACAAGTAGGTGCGATTTTGTACCCTACATGCTATATAACGCGGTCGATCTACCACATCATCCACTACCCTAATTATAAACACAGCGGGTCTACTGTATAAAAGGTTTATAGATGGAATAAAGTAAAATTCTGTGACTGCGAGTATAGAATTCCCCTAACCATTTTAAAATGTATATTCATCCACAAAATTATAAGCGTTCTCTGGTGAGATATATTGCAGCAATCCGCTAATACGCAATAAACGTAGCCAGTAATGTCCACGGCTAATATACTGCGAGTAAGGCCGTTTCATGCAAGGTCTTGCTTTCTATTTTCTGAAGTCAGTCAAGCACTATATAAACTCTTTATCATCATAAATCATGCTTGGATTGCCTCTTCGTTTTAATTCATAAGATTTTCCGACAAATAATCTATTTTTCATTGAGGTGAGATATTGCGCATTGCTGCGAGCAGAACTGTTTTCAGTTGATTCGCAGCTCGGCCAAAGGAAAAAGTTACGCAAATATAGCTTGCTGAGGGAGAGAGTGGGTATGGAAACTAAGAAACGGTGGCACGCGGACACAGTCGAGATGGGCGGAAATGGCAGGCAGAAGGAGGCCTGAACGCCGCGTGTGATAATGTATAACAGCGACAATTGTGAAGTGAGCACATGGGGGCGGAATCAAGGCGGGCGCTCGGGGGATAATAACATAGTAGTTTGTTTGCTACCTATCCAGTGCTATGGGGCGCTTTGCCTACCTACAAGACGATGCCGGTCTACTGATAAGAATTTATTACTCTCAGAAACCTATGTATTGAACGTACTACCACGCTGTACCATACTCTCTAATATGCAGTTTTCATCACAAAATATATAGCTCCTCTGGGTGAAGAATATGCGCATTGCGACCAATAAAACGGTAACTGTAGCCGAGGTTACGTGTAACTCAACTTTTTGTATATTGCAGTGGGGACCTTTCATACAAGGTCTTGCCTTCCTATTTCTGAAGTGGGCGTCTACTGATGAATTTTTATTATGGTAATCATGCTTGTAGGCTAACCCGCTCTTTTCATTTTAGAGATTCACAATGCTTTCGCTCAAAAATATTCTTCTTCTCAGATAATATTGCGCATGCGCCGTAGCACACAGCTCTTTCAGGCTTGCAGCCACGGCCTAAATAAAAGTACGTAATATAAGCCTGCTGAGGGAAGGAGGTGTGTGGCAAAACTGAAGGAACAATAGCAGTGGCGAAGTGAACCAGTTCGACAGGTCCACCGGCTAGGTCGGTAAGGAAAAGGAGTCTGACGCGTGCGGACAATGTGAGACAATAGGGAAGGACGTTGATCACGGGAGAATAAGTATGAGTTTTGCACACCTTACAGGCTTATGGCGACGCTCTCTGTTAACTATACAACCACAGCACCTTGCTGATAAGAATTTTATTACAAGAAAACCTACTTACTTATTGTTGAGCATATCCCACTACTACTTGCATTCATCACTAAAATGGCGCGTTTTCTACACAAATACTATAACTGCATCTTGATAATATACTTTTTGGCATGCGACTTAAACCATAGTACGTAGGCCAGGTTAATGCCTACTTAAATTCGCGATATATTGCAGCGCACGGACTCTTACATGAAAGGTTTGCTTCTATTTTGAAAGTGAGGACTCTTACTGATAAAAACTTTTATAAATATAAATCTATCCATAGGGCTGATAACGTCCTCCTCATTTTCTTTTAAAAAAAACAAAAATTCATAATTTTGCCAAACTACTGCTATATTCAATCTCACGGTCGAGATAGTGGCATGCGGCGTGTGAGAGCACCGTTTTCCCCTGTGCGACTATCGAACCTAAAATTATAGATCTTACGTTAACTATATACGATATGTAATATCATATACGAACGATTTGACATATCTGCCACAAGATATCAATAGCTACTGGGAGTCACTTATATGCGATCCGCGAGTGGGCTCCTACCTTACGCCTTACATATTACAGAAGTCCCACGTTAATTTTCATGTGCGATGACCTTTACTTATGCTGGATTCGGATTATGACAGTTGGCAAACGATTCTGCGTAACTCGAGGACTAGCAAATCTTTCAATAATCACCCTTACCTTAGGCCACCTAGCAGCAGTTGTCATTACGGTCGCGCTACTGGATTTACAGTGTTTAAGGCTACTCAATTGGAGAGGCATATTTTTACTTATACTTGCCTATTTATTTCACTTTAGGAACGTACAACACGCAAAATAATTACCATTTATAATTAAGAAGGGGTTTATAATTCATGCTGAAGTAGATGCCTTCAAAAACCTCGGACGGACATTTTGAACTTATATTGTGTCCCGCCACCCCTCCAACTAAGTGGAAGAGGGCCCTTTCCTTCCTTGTTGTCCCCATCGGACCCACTTTTACGTCGCCATTGTTTGTGATCATTCTGTTGCTAGTGTGCTATGTTGTCTTCTTTTTGCGCTGCTGACTTGCGCTGTATGTAGCGATCATGCGTGAGATTGTTTATCTGACTGTGTATACTCGTGTGTATGTGACGTTCACATATGCAGATGTCATTATTGCGCTCACTGACTACGGTGACAATGGCTCTGTGAGTCTCCACGCGTATCCAGAGGTGCTTATCGCTGTGTTCGGATGTGTGTGTGTGGTTTGCGGTGGATGTGTGCTGTTATGGCCGCTTCGATGTCCTGTGCGGTGCGTGCCGTGTGTGTGATGTTGTGTGGGTGTGTTCTGGTGTGTGTGTGTGTGGTGTGCGTGCGTGCGTGTGTGTTTGCGTGCTTGCGTGTTGTGTGTGTGTGTGTGCTGTGTGTTGTGTGTGTGTGTTGTGTGTGATTCTGTGTGTGGGTGCGATAGCCGGCGCTACGGGAATGTATATCTACTTGGTCCCGGGGGACCTGCTGGTGTGTGTGTGTGTGTGCGTGAGTGTATGTGTGTGTGCGTATGTGTACATGTGTATGTCCGAAAAACACAATCTCTTTTTTGGTAAAGCAACTTGTGACTTGTACGCTATTACACCAGTACATTAGCTTAGAAATAGAAAAACTCGCAGCCCATTAAAAAGAGGGCGTAAACGGTAAATCCACCGCGGGAGACTATATCTCCAGCATCGAGCTGTTGTGTGTATAGCCTGTTCGAGCACCTCGTATGTCAGAGATCAGTCACCGAAATTTATTATATCACCTCAGTCTTGGGCATGCTCTCTTTCTCTCTCTCCCTCTCCCTCCCCCCCCCTCTCTCTCTCTCGCTCTCTCTGTCTCTCGTGCGCTCTCTCTCTCTCTCTCTTTCTCTCTCGCTCTCTCTCTTTCGAACGCTTAATTTCAATACATGCGATTATTTTCACAAATATTGGGCATAAGCAAACCCAGACCTCCGACTGCAAAACTGAAAATTTTACTGAAAATGTTTGAGTTTGCGCAACCCCAATAGTTCGCTAAGAAATGTAATACCGGTTTCCTAGGTCAGCGGCTCAGTGAGATTAGCCTGATGAAAAATTCTTACCCTACCCGGACCCTACCATCTTAGCTCAACGCGCAGTGCCCATCAAGATTATGTGTAGACGTTAAAATCCCCGACGATAGGCTATAATAAAAAGCAAAATGGCTATGACACTAAGAGTCTTGCCAGTTGGGAAGTTCCTGATCATGCTTTTAACAATTATTCGACTCAGTAACAAATTCAGTTAACAAATATACACGATATATTTATATATTATGTTATTATAATAATCTTATTATATTATATTATATAATATATTAATATTATTATCATATATTTATCTATATATTATCATAATATACACAGTATTCTCTAAATAACGCGACGCCGCACGGAAACATGCATATCAACTTGATTATCGAACAAAATATGACACCGACTAAAATTATGTACGCAAAATTTGTTCAGAGGCAAACGACATAATCTGTAATAGAAACTTCTAGCTGTTCTTGTTCTCTCGTTTAGACGTTCCGCACATAGTTGCCTCCGCGTTAATGTTCTTTATGTGCGTGGTTCCAGGTCGTCCACAATCAGACCCTCTCTACTGGTCGATGTTACACAGCATATTCATAGGTTGCCCACAGTGATAGTCTTGCGCCTCGCGCACCGTGTATAGGCATACTATCAGATGTACTACGGGCAAACACCGCAGCGCTGGTGTATTTTATAGGCTTGGTCTTTGGTCTTAAAGCAACCGTCAGTGCTGATGCTCCTCGTAGGCATCATCTAAAGGTCGCACAGAAAGACCTTCCAAGTGCTGATCTCCCTTGTAACATAATCTCGGGTTTTTACATGTAGGAACCTCGATGTGCTGATCCCCCTTGTAGGCATAATCTCGGATTTTCACATGTAGACCCTCGAGTGCTGATCCCCCTTGTAGGCATCATCTTGGGTTTCATATGGAGACCCTCCAGTGCTGATCCCCCTGGTAGGCATCCTCTATAGGTTACACATGTAGACCATCCAGTGCTGATCCCCCTTGTAGGCATAATCTTGGGTCCCACTGGAAGACGATTCAGTAGTGCTTATCCGTTCTTGTTAGGCACTCATCTACAAGTTTCATAGGGGCAGACCTCCAGTGCCTGATCTCCCTGTAGGACATAATTTGGTTTCACATAGAGACGAATCTAGTGCTGATCCCCCCTTGTAGGCATTCATCTAAAGGTCGCCACAGAGGACCCTTCAGTCGCTTGATTCCCCCTGTGTACGACATAATCTCGCGGTTTTCACATTGATAGACCATCTTCAGTGATGATTCCCCTTGCTAAGGCCATAATCCTTTGGTTTCAGCATGGAGCACACAGTTGCTGACCCCTGAGGCTGATCTGCGGATCCCACAGTAGAGACGATTCAATACTGTTTTCTCTCGTCTTAGGGTTATACAGTCGAGCCCCGCAGTCCGCACTCACTTAGGAGCGGGTGCTCGTTTGTCTAGGCATGATCCAGATGTCCCAACAGACAGACGGTCCGGATGTGGAAGCGGATAAAGCATGTGAAGCACGCACGCCTTGGACTGATGATTGTCGCAGCGTCGTGATAAGCGTAGAAAGCCGTCTCCACGTACGCTGGGCAACTGCGTCTTCACCTGCGAACGTCACCGCAGAGACCAGACGCCAGCGCATGCCACAACATGATGCATTCGCGGCCGGGTTACGACGGGTGCGGCCTAGGCCGTTGCTGCCCCGCCGCAGTCCGCCATGATGAAGGTCGATCTGCCAGCGGCATCGTCGGAAGAACGACACCCGCGGATAGGAGCACGAGCGTGGCCGACGCACCGACGGAAGCTATCGCGAGTGAAGGGGCCGCCATGACACCGAGCCGCAGTGACGTATGACAGTCGCATGAGACGCGAGCAGCAAGGAAGTTCGTTCGAGAAACGTTGTTTGTCGCAGCCATGCGCACGTCGACGGTCGCGACTGTAGCGGAAGGCGCGCCACACGACAGCGACGAGCGTGCAGGACGCGCCAGCGACAGCTCCGTGCGGTTAGCTTGACGATGCGCGCGCCCTCCTGCGGCGTGCTTCGTCGTCGCTCTGCCGCCAGCATGAAGAAGGACGAAGATTGCGAGGATGGTGCCCATTGGCACGGAAGATGCCGGAAGAAGAGGCCCTTGTCGTCGTCGCCGTGGCAGTCGTTGCTGGATCTGGCCGCGGAGAGCGGGTTTCGTGAGCGTGGCGCCTTCGTCGTGCGAGATACACGCTCGCTCCGATGTGCGTGCCAGCGAGCTCCATCTAGTGGCGAGAATAGAAAATAAGTCGAAGGGCGTGCTGTCGGGGTGCGTTAGGAGGTTGGCTGTTGCTGTTGTTTCCGAGCGGTATTGTGGAAACGGCGTCTCTTGCTCTCCGTCACCCCCTCTCTCGCTAGTTATCTCTCTCCCTTCCTCTTCTCTCTCTATCTATCGCGCTCTCTCGCTCTCTCGCTCTCTCGCTCTCTCGCTCTCTCGCTCTCTTGCTCTCTCACTCTCTCACTCTCTCGCTCTCTCTTTCTCTCTCTCTCTCTCACTCTCATTCTCCCTCTCGCTCTATCGCCCTCTCCCTCGCTCTCTCTCTCTCTCTCAATCTCTCTCCAAATCGCTCTTCCTCTCTCTATTTCTCACGCTCTCTCTCTCTCTCTCCCCCCCTTCTCTCTCTCTCTCTCTTTCTGTCTCTGTTCAATATGTGATTTTCACACCACTCGGCTAGGCTATTGCCATTAAATCGTCTAGCGTTGTACCTTGCTGATGTTACTCCATATCATGTACATTATTCCTGCAGAAATCAAGCAGTATTCAATAGTGAGCGGGTAGAGATACGGAGCGATCTGTCTCTCGAGCTCCAGAATGGACGAGGTAACATTGCAATCATCGGTCCATTCATTGTTCTGTTGAGACGCAGTTTGCTCTATTGTGTAATTCCAACCTGAAATAACGTAAAGACAACCGGGCTGTGTCACCCGACAACCTTCTTCACGTGCAACATAGCTGTGCTGATTCACGATTCTAAAACAGTTGATGAGGAGCCATGCATATTCTGTTAGACGTGCGAGGATGCTTCAGGCCAGAATGAGGAATCTGTGAGGCGTCGGAAAAATCACAAGAATTTAAGCCAATCGCGAGTCTTAAATGAAATTGATGAAAAAATGTTATAATCTTCGTGCACGATTCTTTTCACTACGAAGGTTATGGAATTTTGCATGTGTCATTACGACTCGCGATGTTTCCGACAAGCAACCCCTCAGACCGTTTTTAAATTGACTACGTTACAAATTTTCTCTGGTGTATGTTTGTAAAAATTTGGTTGCAATTTTTTACATGAAAAGTAAGTACTAACGGCATTAAATGTATCCTCAAATTCTTAAGTGATAAGATTGTTTTTCAACTAGTTAAATATCAAAAAAACTGGGCGATTTGATATATTGATTAATTGCTTGCTATTATGGGCTATATGAACTACATTGGCTATAAGGGCTATATGGGCTATGTATGAGTCACAAGTGTTTGTTCACATAGAACGGAATAGCAAAATAGGAAGTATAATGCAGCAATTTAACCATAAAAAGTTAACAGAATCACTTAGCTACATTTTGTGAAAAAGTGGACATATTTGTTATAGTTTTACTATTTACTGTGACGTAATCACTTTAAGTGAAATCTCACTTAATCGCATTTTAGATTTATGACGTTTCTCGTAACCTCGTAATGATTAGTCTTCAAAGACCAGGGGACTATACTATACCAAATACGAGAAGAGACAAGGCTGATCGAATCGATAGATCAACACTTCAAATCGCAGTTAAAAAGTTTCATCTTACAATAAACCAGAGAAGAATGGAGATAATTCTAACATGGAATGACACACAGCTCATATTATATATATATATAAGAATAGGGGAACAACACAGAACGAGACGACGACGGGCCGACGGCAGAACCATTGCTGCGCGCGCCCGTACTTTGCTCTTTGAAATAAGCGTTGATTATGGGGCTCGCGTGGTCCCAGGTCGTATTTGTGACGGATGTCTCCACGGCCTCGTACGCTATCGTTCGTACCCACACGCACAGGTTGGTCGCTAGCAGGTGCATGAGGCCGAAACGTGCCAGCATCGTATTCTTGTTGATGAGGATCTGCGCAAGTAAGTAGGGCCTAAATATATAAGTAAACACGTTATGTGCAGACACGATAAATTGGTACAAACCCATCTTCTATAGGGGCCAGGACGATGCGTAACTCTATGTAAAACAGATCGGTGAAACCACTGACGGTGAGGAGCTCGCAAGCTCATGTTGACATAGGCCTATCTGTTACCAATGTAGCGTCTTTAAATAAATAAATAAAGATCGGTTGCAGTCGTCGATTGCGATAGCTTTTTTAAACAAGCTCGTAACCTCGTAAATATTAGTATTCACAGTCCAATAGACCATATCGAAGACGGAAAGAGACAACGGTGATCATATAAACAGATCAATAGTGCGGATCGGAGTAGAAAAAGCCTCAAGTTTGCAACTAATGAGGAAGGGAGAAAATTCCAATACGGAATAACAGACAAAGAATCTAAACTTGAAGGGATTCTTTGAGGATGACACGTGTTGTAGGTAATGATCAAGCTTGTTATCTGTTTCTAATATTGATACTAATTGATTTCGCACATTGATAGCGATTGATCAAAAGAAGGTAATCACGGGTAATCACGCTGTGTGGGCGTTGAAATTTGTCTTAGACCTGAAATGTTACNATTACGGAATGACAGACAAAGAATCTAAACTTAAAGAGATTCTTTGAGGATGACACGTGTTGGAGGTAATGATCACGCTTAATTGTTATCTATTTCTATTATTGATACTAATTGATTTCGCACATTGATAGCGATTGATCAAAAGAAGGCAATCACGGGTAATCACGCTGTGTGGGCGTTGAAATTTGTAATAGACCTGAAATGTTATGGCCAAAAAAAGATTCACCTGATATGAATATATATGCATACTCACGTTAGACCTCTTATAGATGAAATAGAGCTGAGTGAAACTGAATCCGTAGTTTAGCCATGGCGACGTAGGTAAGCCAATATAGCATTGTGGTGCTATACTTATTGTTACACTCCATTGCAAAGCATTTCGAAGCATGTCTCCAAAGCAGAAGACTGAAATGGAATATTAAGATATATGTGATACATTGCTTAACTTGAGTAGCAGAATC